TGATCGCTCTTGTGCAGCAGTTGCGACGAAGAATACCGTACATCGCGAGGAAAAATATGATCCTCTACCGCCGCGGTGAGCCCGACTTAGATTAATCGGCGAAATAATGATATAATTAATTACGTACAATTAGCACGAAACTTCGCTAATGCGGAGTCCTTCCTACCCGGTGTTCTGTTAGACATTTTGTGCACTATTTGGATGAGAAATGATCCTGAGGAATTATCCCGAGTACTGCAATATGTATCTAAAGCGGGGTCTCTCTATATCGCTCCTTCCTTCGCTCTGACATTTACTTTGAATTTTTTAAATGACAAATGTCCCCAGCAACTTAATAATTATCCGAAAAACTCTCGTGTTTACAATTTCCGAATGTACGAGACGCGCGTGTAATTATAAGCACGACGGCGATGAATAGAGAAATAAAATTTACGCGAGTAAATTAAGCACGTGACAGTTTGATACGAGAATTAATGTGATGAAATCTGAAATTGAATCGAAATGCATACCGGCGTGCATGCGTCTACAAATAAATCGGCACAATCGAAATTTCAATATTAATACGCGGTCATAAAAGAGACCGTTGTATTAACTTTATACACGCCGAAAGGTTTCTCTTCGACTGAATAATTAACAGTTTAGTCCGTGAAATAATATGCGATAATTACTAACTGCCACGGGGCAAATATTCGTGTGCGACACATATCGACGAGTGTTATACATGCGTAATTAAATGAAACGAACTAAAAAGTAAAACTCGACATACGCTGCTAACAATTTTAAACTATGTCGCATGCATTAATCGCGAATAATCGTTAAAATAAGAGCGTATCTTGTGCGATTCTACACAAGATTGACCGCACATAAATCACTACAAGTTGTTTCCTCGGGAATTATCAGAGAATAACGATGAAATCTCTTTTAAAATTCATTGGGATTCTCTATTCCAAAAGTATGGTAATTACTGATTTGAAATATGATTTTCTCATTGAGGAAGTAGCTCGTAACATTTCACAATATTAACTTGTAGATAATACTTGAAACAATTATCTAATAAATTTAATCCAACAATAACTAAATTATAATACACATATTATATTCATTTATTAACAAAATAATATTAATACATCAGTAATGACGAATAATTTCTAATATAAATATATATTTTTGTGTATACGATATATGTGAGAAAATTAATTTATTAATATTATAGTAAACTGGAAAAGTTAATAACTAACAACGCGTCCTCGAACGTTTCCCTTCTCTTTCGAGAATTGGTAGCCATAAGCGTGTCAAATATAAATGAGCTATATGTAATGACACCATAGACATATTGACCATAGACTGCTTATGAGGCAGTGAAGGCAATTTATTTGGGTGTCTATCTTTCTCTGCCTCTCGTGACTCACGCGTTCTGGAGAAAGATAGACGTCCAAATAAACTCATATTATCCTTTTCCCTCAGGAGGATGCCCCCACTTAGGGGCCCACTGCCTCATAAGCAGTCTATGGTTAATATGTCTACGATTAGCACGAAGATGAATAAGAAATGTCTATCTCCGGACGACACAGTCGTCATTTTTCTTCGTCGAAGTCACCCTGGCACGCCTAATAATGGTGAACGCAACAGGTAATGGCACAGAAACGTGTCCTATTAAATTAGCTGAAAAAGATTCCTGCTTCTTTTATCGCATGATCGCACCCGATCGATTATCTAAAGATGTGATGGCATACGTATTCGACATTTCGTTTTCCAGTCTTTCTTCTGCTCCGTGATAATTTTCTGTTTCTCACAACACAAAAGCGCGAATGAAAGTGAATTGTATAATTTCTGATTAGCCGTTTAAAACGATTAATTGGTTATAACGTTTGATTGATTATATACGATTATATACTCGTTTCACGCGATCATTTTCGTCTCTCTTGAGAGAAATTACGGTTCATAAATCAAATATCGCCAGTTATAGGCACCCTCGTCGCATCGAATTTTTGTACAATTTTGTCAGGGCGGAATGAACCTATCGATAAATTTTCCGGCGACATTTAACGTACATTAATGTCACAAAGGAATGCACGATTTTTTTTTTCGAAAGCAGCACAATTCTCTTCGCATGGGTATTATTTGGGAATATACTCTTCAAATCGTCGGCAGTTCAAATAGCAATTTAATAAATATAAAATATCTGATACGTTATACTTAGAAAGTGCCTCCAATTTCAAAAAATTATTTATAAAATCTCTCAAACAGAAATGGAGCTGGGATTAGTTGCAATGTTCGTTTACACGGTTAATAATGTTTTTCACGTTTATTGATTCTCCAATGGAAACTTTTTAATTAAATTATATTGAAGCAAATAACAATTTTTCTACCAATAAAAGAAATTATCGTAAAAGTGATCGTCACCTGGTTTCTCTAATATCACTTATGGTATAGTAATCTACTAATCGGGAATCGCATGCAATAGCTTTTTATGGAAATGACTCAATATGCTAAATACACGGATCGCAAGTACCTGGATCGCAAGGAATTTGTAAAATACCGTGCATTCAGGGAATTACTGGAATTACCTTGTCAACTACTGGACTGGAGGACTGCCGTGAGTGCCGGCGGATTCAATTGCGCCTGAAAAAGCAGAGTGGCCTGCTGAGAGCCCATTTGCACAAAATCCAACGATTACCAACTCCCACAGCTTATGCTGCTATATAATTTCGAGATATCGGCGACGCTTTAAAATACTTGACGATGTGGCGAAGCGCGATAACCTTGCCGGGGCGAATCGGATCGCCGCGCGCGATTTCGAGACAGTTGTACGTCTGCTCCAAACATGCCACACGCGAGTGAAAATTTTGTAAAATATTACACCAGAACGTTTGCTTTCCATTGCAAAGATTAGCCTTATATGTTTAATACTGTTGCGTGAGTTAGTTCAACTACGTGTTTAACAATATATTGATGTATAAAAGGTGCTATAATATTTCAACTGAAGATACATTAGTTTAATAGGCGTATTATAATATATTGAATCGTTTTTCTTTAATAATTTTATAAATATACAAGCAGCAGTAGATAGCACGGAAATTACCTCTGATTGCACGCAATTGCATTCTAAACAATTCGTCACGCGGATCAGCAAGTTGTATGTTTAAGTTCGTTTAATTAAAGAACACGTGAGTAATTATATAATGCAAGTTATAGCTTGCATTATGCTTCACGGCAAGTTAATTCCACGCTATGCATATGATTTCTCTACTTCCGAAAGACTGCGTACATATTAAGGGAGAGATGAGTTATGAAAGCGAGAAAATGAGAATAAGTGTGATTTTATTTATCCACTCATTATAATTAACAATATTTATGTCGTTATAAATATCATATAATTATCATACAAAATCCAATCTAAATTATTTATATATAATTTGTACTTGTCGCGCTTCGTTATTTACTCACTTCGAATAAAAGCCAATTTACATGGAATAGCTTGGATGGAAACCGACCATTAACAACTGTCGGGATTAATTTTGCATTCGATGAACATTCCTACTGCAAATGTCCACGCCGCGAAAAATTACATTTTTCTAATTATAACGCTGAAAAGGCGCGTATATGTGTTATGCACGAATTTAATAAAAATAATGCAATATCCTTTCTGAGGTAAAAAGAGGACGAAAAAAAAGAGCACACCGGCAACCGAATACATTTGACTCCTCTCTTCGCAATCCACTTTGCCCTCGTGCAGAAAGGCTTATCAACCTGCGTGCATTCCCAGAGAGGACGGTAATGAAAATGCCTCCGGAATATTTCACGTGCCCCTTTAATACATCAAGGGACGGTGCGGAGGAGCGGAAAGTGAGAACGAGGGAAGAGAGAGAGAACGAAGGAAAAGCTGCTGTACAGCCGATGCCGGAACAGAAGGCGAGGTAAAAGGGCCGTAAAAGAATCCCTTTTCCATCTCTGCGTGTGTTACACCCTTTGCCCTGTGCAGTCTTCTCATTTATAGCCCTTAATTCGAGCGACACGAAGCTAGCTCCAGGGCATCTCTTTATCTCGCTCCACCTTTACCATCACAAAATTGCCCGCGCATTGTTATGGGCGCGCAAAAAAAATTTCGCATTGCGACAAGAATAAATAAACCGAACGTGACCATATACGCTCACAGCATTATTGCGTAACTGCCTGGTGTATCTTCGATTTTATATTCAGGCTTATTTCAATTCGAGCGGTATGCAGAAATTATTGTATTAAACATGGAAAACATTAAAAACACGAAAAACTTTAGAAACAAATAAATAACAATGGCTCGTATGGTGAAATCAAGTAATAAAAAAGGGCTCAGTGCCTAAACAAGGTTTGTAGTGTGTAATAAAATAATTTTAATTATAAATGTATATAAAATTATAAATGTGTATATAAATTATATATACATTTATAATTAAAATTATTTTAATGGACACTACAACCTTGTTCAGGCCCTGAGCTCTACACAAAATTATATAAATATATGCGTAACATTGAGCGAAAAAATTGCTGCTTACACACATCATACAAATATAATACTATACGTATTTCTTCCATACCAAAAATGCAATCGACGTAGTCGGAGGTCAATTGTAGAACTAAGATTCTTAGACAGCAATGCTAAGCGTTCTACCTATTCTTCCTCTGTGCAATCTTCGTATATATTCTTTATTCACGCAAACTCTTTTTAAGAGGCAATTGTTTCCGATAAGCTTTTGAGCTCCACGGCATGCAGGACGGAACGGACGATGCACCAACTTCACGCTTGTCTCAAGCGTTTCCCTCGCCGATAATAAATCCCCGTCTCTCTCGCATCGTATTTTAATTATCAGTGATCGAGGTCTCCTTAGCAATTCAAATCGCACACGTGACTACACCCTTGACACCGGCTCGGCTGCCGACATGGAGGACCTTGGGCCAACGAAACTGGCGTGCCAGCACGCGACAGCGACGCGCGTCCGCGCCGCTAATGATCCGCGACTTACCGTCCATCCCGGCAGCAACGTCGCTCGACGATCGACGATTATCCGCGACGGGACATTCCCAGATCACGGCGAGTCTTCCGCGCGATCGATCCATGGAGTCGTGACGTCGCGAGAGCACGGCCTATGTGATCCTGCATCCGCGTTGTCGTGAACCGGCAGATCGGAGTCTCGTTCCGTTGACACTCCTCGACGCGCCGAGGGGTGCACCGTCACTTTCGACGTGGCCACGGGAGGACGATGTGTCACGCACAGACGTCGACATGATGTTACGCGTACATGGCGAAGCGCTCCTGGTATCGCGTGTCTGCCGTTAAAATCGAACCGGCAAGAGAGAGAGAAAGAGACAGAGAAAGAGAGAGAGAGGGGGGGGGACGAAGAGAAAGCGAAAGAGGGGTACGACCACGAGGGAAAAGCCTTCGAGCTCCTCAGTCTACTATCGTTTCGATTACGCGCGGCGCGCGATTACGGCGATGCACACGGGAAGCCGTCTTAAGCCGCGCCATTCAGTGCCGACGGATCGCCTGAAATATTTTGCGACAGCGGATCGAAAACCCCCGTCGACGTCGTATCCGATCCACCGGCGTTTACGAAGGCTTATTAAATTCTCTATGGAAATAACACTTGCGCCCCTTTTCCGGCCGCTCGGATCGCGTCCCTCAATCTTCCCCGCAAACTTGCACTCTTCTCTGAACTTCTCTCATCGGTTGTCCGCACCCCGCCAACTCTCTTCCCTGCGGCTTAGCCCCCTTTCAGCCTTCGCTCCTCGCGATTGATTCACTGTCACTGTTTGAGTCTCCAGTTGGATCAGCAGCCATTAGCAGGCACGGCGGAATTGCTATTCGCAACGACGGCAATCACGTTAATCCGATCCGCCGGCACTTCCAGCTAATTTCGCCGCGTCGCTGCCCCGTCGATCGACGTTGAATTTCCTCGCCAGAAATTTGGTCCTGCAACAGCTAAAACGGAGCCGCGCCGACGAAACGCGTACACGCCTCACGCGCTGGTCCATAAGGGTCGTCACTGATCGGCGGAAATGAGCGATTATCCCCGATCGATCACCGTTTACTGGATACTCCCTCGTGTGCGCGTTTGATCTCGAAGCCAGTCGATTTTCCGGCCGAGTCTCGCCCCTAAACCCTTCGTGCCCCTGCAAGTCGTCTCGTCCGCTTCACGATCTCGTGGCCGACATAGCAGGCACGTCGCACGACGAGATTCTTGTCTGAACTAGGGTATTTAGGAAACGCGATATCTCCCGATTGCTCCTAATCGATTCACGGCGACAGCTGCAATCCGATCCGGCGGTTCCGCGCGCGAGTACCGTCGACCTCCACAACCTGCGAAGGTACCTGTGGATTCCGGCGAGGGACGATCGACGATCGAGTAATTGGGACGCGCGAGAGATCGCCGAGTGTCCGTCGGCGTTTCAGGACGATGCCGAGTTACGACGTGGACCGGGATCGATTGACGAGGATTGCCATCACACCACCGTCATCATCGTCGTCGTTTATCTCGATATCGGCCAGGCGGCACTCTCGAGCCACGTCGTGTGGAGCGTACGGCGAGCGACTGGCTGTCTGCTCGAGTTTCCACACCGCCTCGAATCCCGAATGCTCGCGCGCGCTCGAGAGGGGTTGGAAGTGAGTGAGAGAGGGCGTGAGAAAGCGAGAGAGAAGGAGAGAGAATACGCGAGAGGGGAACTCCACCCTCTCCCCTCCTGGCAAAACCCTCTCGCGCGCACGCTGCCTGCGACCAACCCCTAATTCTCAGCCCTCCTCCACCAGCCACCTTCTATTCCTCCTCTGTGTCGCGTTGGCCGTTCCCGTCCTCTCCGTCTGCTTTTCTTTCTTTTTCTTCTTTTCTCTTTCCTTCTCTCTCTCTCTCTCTCTCCCTCCCTCTCTGTCTCTTTCCCCGCAGCGCTTCTTTCGCAACCCTTTCTTGTTCATCTCGAGGCTTTCGAGTCTCTCCAAATTCGTTGGCGCAGGTCCTGCCAGATATGACGACACGGGACTTTGATTACCAGCGGCGCGTCTGTCCCGTGCTATCTGTTACTACTAGCGCGGAGGGAGTCGCGCGTTATGGGACAAGTGTCGGTCGCTCCAACGAGTTCGAGTGTGTTTCCCAACTGGCTTTTCTTCCCTTGAGAATCAACTTAGCAAATTTCAAACAACATCGCGCAAATGTCAATCTTGGATACTTGGAAAAATCTGATTAATTTAACTAGTAAAATTAAATAACTGATATATTAGACTAGGATTCTACTAAATACTAATATAAAACAGCGACATTAATCTTAAATTAATATCATGTTCTTAATTTAAAAACTAAAAAGGGAGAGAGAGAGAGAGAGAGAGAGAGAGAGAGAGAGAGAGAGAGAGAGAGAGAGAGAGAGAGAGAGAGAGAGAGGGATAATTCAAGCAAGCACGACAAAACTATACGTGGCAACTATAGATACTATAATTGTAAGATCGAATGTATGAAATATATTAGCACACATTAGCTGGAACTTTTTGATGCTTTGTTATTGCGACGCGTAAATTAACTGCAGCAATTTTATTCTAATTATTAAGACAGCGGTATGACTTATAGTAAAACTTGTAGTATGAAAATTTTGTATTGTTGCATTGCGTGCACCTATTAAATTTATTTGTTATTAATCGGAAATGCCCTTATTGAGCAAATTACATTTATAGTAAAAGTGCCGTGTGATAGCTTTAGCTACGGCAAAAATCAATAATCTATAGTCATATCCCCTTGATTCGCGATCGCTTGACCTATATAATTTTTTAGCCGTATAATTTTCATAATGGATGAAGTATTAACATCGATATGCTTGTTTCGAACACATCAAATTAACATTATAATCAGTCTTCGTCAGAATTACGTCAATTACAGTTAATAAACTAGAATAACGAAGACAGAATATCTCTATAAACTATTTTGGACTGATAGCGATACAAAGATTCCAAAATTAGAAGAAAATATGTCACTGGGTGTGACAAAGAGCATTTGCATAACATTTTCATTCTGGTAACTTAATAATTATTGGAAAAATGTTACGATCTACATACGTTCCGCGATTAACGACACCTGTTTCGTGCCTTTTGATAAAAGATTATTTTCCCTTTAGCGAGGGGAGAGGAATTAGCATTCACTCATTGTTACGAAATATCAGAGCTGATATCGACTGCTATCATGTATAGATAGACATCGTGATATCGCGATTTGCGGATAAGTACCGCATGAATGAAATTAAGTTCGGAATTCTATTTTGGGTTTCAAATGACGTAGGTTCATAAACCACCTCGTAAAGACCTGGGATCTCCCGCAGGATAACATACGAGAGTTGGCGCGCATAAACGGTGGGAAAAGCAAAGAAATTTATAGTTTTCAATTTTCCGTCTGTCCGGATTCGCGCGCGATGCTCTGCAGCCGTATGCAAGGCACTCTCTCATTTAGCCCGTCCAATATGACACGTTTTCTCTCTTCCTAGAAGATGAAATACATCCCTTCTTTTACACACACCCACCACGAGACTTCTCATCATCAGTTATCGATAATCCACGGTAGTAACGAAGTACGACACACGGTTATGCGGCCTCGCCGTGATGTAGCGACACAAATGTATCCACCAATCTGAAATAATTCTAGGAATCTTCTTTTGATTGTAGTATAAAAGTGGCATTTGTTCGCGCGGAAACGTTAGACGTCACGAAAATTAGTGAGACCTGCATATTGCCGCTTCATTCTTGTAATTTCCGTACAATTTATAATATTGTTACTTTTGCTAATCCGTTGTTGGCGCTCGCATTTGTGCGCTACATCCCAGAACCTGTAGACATATATCGGTCCATCATTTTCGCAGCAGCGGCAGACACGTCTCATTCCGTATTTATCTCAAAGGAAAAGCTGTTTACTTATTCCTTTGTTCGGCAATCTCGACTACAAGGTAGTCACGATGGAAATTGCCTAAATCGGAGATAAGTAATATGAGAAATTCTCAAAGAACAGGTCTCCTTTACAGTCTTCTAATATTTTAGAAAAAGTTTTGCAGGCCTTGTTAAATGATAAAAATTCAGTCTCGCAACGTCTCCCTCGGGTCGTTCGACACACGCACGTTTCTCTGAAGTCGATTTTAAGTGTGCAAGCAAAAAGTCGATTGATTCTCGACAAACGCGGTAACTTTGTGTATACATATAATCGGTTCGTATTTTCGATTTGTATAACGTGTACCGATTGAACAGTTTCAAAGATAAATCGTCATTTTATGATATCGGGTTGATGGATGAAAGACTAGAAATCGGACTGATGAGCCGTAATTCTACAAATTGATGTAAATGATATTTACCATTAGAGTTGACATCGATACAATTTGTTCGATTCTACTATTCGGAGTCCCTCAAACTCTCTGTGGTCGCGTTAGCAGGGAAAAGCTATTTACGTGTTTATTTATCTGTCGATCCGTTGGTATGTTGGACTGATTAGCGTTTAATCGATTATTACAGCACGTCGAGGCAAGAATTGGATGTAACACACGGACGTTCGTAAATGACGCAAATAAATGATCGAATTTATGATATAATTCCGCATAATTTGACCGCTCTTGTTTGAGCGATTTCTCATTAGTCAACAACGCAATTCATCGGCGCAACGATGCGGAAAATATTCCGTATCTTACGACTCGGTCGCGCGAAATAAGCAGGTTAGCATTAAAATTTATTGTCATTTCGAACGAAATCAATTATGCAAATCGACTTGCTCATTGTGCAAGCCGTAATCAACGGTTGATGTACATTTAGCGGTACATTATCTCATGCAGAAATCCCACACGTTTGCTTCAACACCGACGATTGCTCATTTACATATCATTGCATACGATACGACATATTAGATGGATTACGAATTCACTGGGCACGACGCGAGTATTAAATGCCCATAAGTCGCTTTACGATAATCGAATTTTCCTGAAGACCGGTGTATAATAAAAAATTAATGATGATAAATTGCAAGGGACATTAATGCAAAGCAAATACCGATACGAAGCGATGTAAGTGCTTTAGAAAGTTTAAAGCCCTTATTATGGATTTTAAACTTAGCTTCAACGAGTTAGCATATTTAATTAAACAAATGAATCAGACGCGTAAAATTATATACATTTCTGATAATGCAGATAAGCAGTGGATTTTTTTGCCTTTTCTATTTAAACGAAAGGCAGGGAAGAGCAAGTGTACATATTAGTTGTATCGAGCTAAAAGCTGGTAGCAGAACGTGCTAAAGGCTTCAAATCAACGCTTCTGGTTCACTCTGTCACCGAGTCAGTTTCTCACTCCGCGTACATGAATGGAGGTCCATTCTCGAAGTTAGAGTCAGGAGATGCTTCCAATCTGTTCAAAATGATCGAGTTTCAGTACGGTGTACGAGCACCCGGGAATATTGTGCTAACAATTATCCCATGATTGACCACCTAGATTAATAAAGTTATAATTACTATATGTCGCGCGTATTACCGTGGGGGAGCCAGATCAAACGCCTGGATAAACACAATTTACTTCGAAGTTAATGTATTATACTAGCAGCTATGTGAAAGCGACGCGCGGTCAGTCGATATGGAGAAACTAGATTTAATTGTAATCCTTTTGCATTTATTAATAGCTGAAATAGGATGTAATTGTAATCGGTGATTGGTGATAATCACGAAAAGCTGTCATTAATAATATATGGTGTGCCTGAATCCATTAACATAGATATTTCCGTTATAAACGGTAAGCTACTGTCAATCCCACTGTACATTCCGATCATTGATACATTTCGCAGAATTTATGTTCTGAAATATTAATCTCCATGTGGTCTGTATGCTTTCGTCATGTACGTTATATCGATAATCGATTAATATATTTAGCGCGATCGATAGGCGTTTGTGAAAAAAAAGAATTTGTATCTAAAATTTAAATTTAATTTGTATAATTTCAGACTTGAACCAAATTATTCTATCACTATTAATACTCATTAAGTAACAGTATGAAGCGAAATATAAAATATAAAAAGTGTAAAGATTTCGCTTCTTCTGAGCGAATAGACAGCAGCAAGGAAACCTTTACGTTATCAGCTACAAACTTTTCTGTCGATTAGAACAAAATTAGAGCAAGAATCCGAATGCGCGTGTACGATTGATGTCCAAGTGTTCTTATTTCTTTGTGCTTGACAAGTCACTTAGTTTATTCTTTTCTCAACTTTCCGGTACAAATATTGATGCACGGCGTACTGTGCCTTGGGCGCAAGCTTTTTATAACATGCAAGAAATATCATCCATCACTCTCACGAGCTGCCGTAGTATCTGTTGCGAACAAATTTCGAATGAAAGATGTTTGCACAATCTAATTTAATTCTTTCAACTCCACACTTTTCCAAAAGTAAGAAGAAAAAGAAGCATGAAAGTGCATCTCTGCTTATACTTCGTGACAATATTGTACTTCGTACAATGAAAGAAAAGATTAGTGAATCCTACAATTAGCTGAAATTAAATATAAACTTTCTAACAAGTAATTAATAAAACTTAAAGTACTTATTGTAATACAATGTTAAGTGATATGTCGTGCCCTTCTTTGCTTCAGACTTATGTTAATGTCTCAGAATTG